TACAAAATAAAATTAAATATTTGATGCTAAATCGATGCTAAATTAGCGTCGATTTAGCATCGGCTGTTTTTACACTCGACGCTAAAAGAACGCTAATTTAGCATCGAGTTAGCATCGAAATAGACGTAAATCTGATGCTAAATTTGTGTCGAATTAGTAGACTCGAATTAGCATCGATTGAAAATTCGACGCAACTATAGCGTCGATTTAGTGTCGAATGCGATTTAGCGTCGAAATGTAATTACAAGCATCCTTAATCTTAATTCTTAAACATGATCCAAGTCAAAGAGAGTTTTCACAATAGATACTCCTCTATTGCACAATAGCCATACCAACTATTTAACATCCAAAATGTTATGCCATTGCAGATGGTGAAACTAATAAGCTATTTAGTATTTACAATGCACATGAAGAAACTTAAAAGACATTCACTAGACTTACCGTGAACTCCAAATATAGGTTCTGGATCAGATTCCAACTTCTTCTCTCAAAAAACTCCTAAACACTATTGTCCTTCTGACCTTTAGACACAAACCCAAACTCACAGTTTATATTTCAGACTCCATCTTCATCACTGAACGCTTATTTTGCTTGCCAACCGATCCTGAAATTGCTGGAACAAACAACACACTTTACTCACCTGTTTGCATTCCAGTTTCAAATTTATAATGCTTGATATTCAGTTTTGCTCGTATAGATACTAGACTAAATACACAACAACTGAAGTTTGTAACACATCTCAGAGACTATTCTAAATTCAGAACTGTCACAAGAAAGGGTTCAGAATCACATACCAAATTTCTAACGACTTTCATCACATGGATCTAAGATAAGAGATTCGAAACATTTGTAAACAACAATACTCTCATAAACAGATTGAAGATTGTGGCCAAGAGAAGCCACATACTAAATTTAAGAAATGATCTACATGGCCAGGCAAATCCAATAACTCATTACGGATTCTGATAGATCTTTAAGCCAATTTCACAAATGATTCGACTAAATTTATGTAAAGCATATACTGGAGATAAATCAAGAACAGATCAAATTGGGACACAAAAAGCAAATATAGATTATAAATTGAAGTACTTACATAAACGTGAAATTGCAAACGAAACGATACTAAAAACCATAAGGAACAATCTATAAACCCTAATTCAGAAATCCCAAATTCCATAGAACCCTAAAAGCAACATTCCAGACACAGATAAAAACCCTAACTCCATTATTCAAGAGCTTGTGAATTTAGTAACAGCCTTCGTCCCCTCCGAGACGGCATGCTTCGCCAACTCACCAGGAAGCACCAATCTCACAGCGGTCTGAATCTCCCTGGAAGTAATCGTCGGCTTCTTATTGTACCTCGCAAGCTTCGACGCCTCTCCAGCGAGTTTCTCGAAGATATCGTTGATGAAACTGTTCATGATTCCCATAGCTTTGCTCGAGATTCCGATATCTGGATGCACTTGCTTCAGAACCTTGAAGATGTAGATCTTGTAAGTCTCGATGC